CTGGGCATCTTCAGGCTGGGTTTACTGTGTCTCTTGGAGGGAACACATTTTTCCATTTCTTGGACAACCATGATAAATTCTTCAGAAACCGGATCATGGTCACTGTAAGATCAAAAATGAAAAGTGCAACCTTTCAATAGCAACGGGCTTTTGCTGAACAGCCCGTTTGCAGTTTGCAGGCAAAGGGTATTTCAGGTCACAGATTGTCTTTTTTTTTTTTTTAAGAAGCTGGTAAAGGTGATGCACATCCCACCTTCTCCAGATCCAGCCGTACTCCCCGCTTACCCACTTCTGGCACGCAGGTTTATGCTGCAGTTTCTCTGGGGACTTCATTCTAAACTCAAGTCTCCCCACAAACATTCCTGAGCTTTCAGGAAAACAATGAACAATGAACTCTTCCTTAAGTTAACTCTCCCCAGCTGTGGGGAGAACAAACCAGAGTCACCTGCTCAGGCTCTCACACCTGCACATCGGCTTGGCACCGGCTTGGCAGTGGGTTTCCGGCGCCACATGGCAGGGGATTCTCCCGGGGGCTCCTGGACCTTCAAGTTCTCCGGGGCTTCCTCCTGAGCCAGCAGGGTCCCCGCCTGCACTTCCACGCCTTCCTCTGCGCCCATCTTTCACTTGGCAGCCTCCATTTTTGGGATGGTTTGTCGGGATTTGGCCGGTGCCTTTGGTTGCAGGGAAACCCCATCACCCGCAGGCATCTGCTGGGACTTCCCTTTCCATCTGGGGTGTCTCCACCCGGGAGGTCCGGCCTGAGGAAGGCGACCAAGACGATAAGCGTCCACTGACACAGTCTGATGCTGAAGCCGGGCCGCCCTGAGGAGGACTCCGGCCCGTCTGGATTCACCAACTTCCCACCGCCGCTCTCCAAAGTTGGGGTGCGCCCCCAGAAACGCGACCCGGGCCAGGGCAACTTCAACACCAAACTCTGGGGGCTTTAGGTGTAGGCCCCCAACACTGCCAGCTGCGGGCCGAGAGAGAGGGGCGGCACCGCGGGCGGGCGGACTCAGCCATGGCATAGCGCACGCTCCTGGGCGCCCGCAGCCCCTCCAGGTAATCCGGCTCCGCCCCGGGATAAGGCCCCGCCCCTGATGGAGAGGCCCCGCCCCCTGCAGATGAGGCCCCGCCTCTGCAGGTGAGGCTCCACCCCCGCGGGTGAGGCTCCACCCCCTGCGGGTGAGGCTCCGCCCCTGGGCTCACGATTGGCCACCGAGTTGGGTTCGGCGGGCCTTCATTGGTCCGGGGCGGGGCCCGACCGAGGGTGCCAGGCTGACCGCGCCAGGGCCACGTGGGCGGGGCTAAGGCCCCCAGAGCGCGCTACGCGACACCTGGGTTCAGGAGAAGGGCGGCGCTCGGCTCATCCCGGTGGGCTGGCGCTGGGCGCGGGCGGAGGGAGTCGAGGAGGCTGGAGGTGGGCCGCGGTGCCGGTCCCCACTCACGGAACCAGAGGGGCAGTGGTGGGACGCTGGAACTGCCAGTCACGAGGGGGCGGGGCTCTATGCGGCGGGTGTGGGCGGAGCCTGCACGGCCTCCACTTGAGGCCCGCGGCGGACGGCAGGGGGCGCTCGGGTGCCTCGGCGACCAGAGCCTGAGTTGGGGAAGCCTGAGGTGGGGACCGGCTCAGGCGGCAGCTGCTGCGGGATTAGGATCCCCCGGCAGCTGGAAGACTGGTGCCTTTGTTAACCTCATGCCCCCCTCCCTGCTCCCCCTTCTAGGAGAGGGGTGCACAACATCCCTGGAAGAACAATTTTCAGAAACAGAATTTTTACGGCGAAGTGGAACATTTCCCGTCTCCCTAAAGTTATGGATCCTTTGGCAACTGGAGGAAGACAGGTTTATGTGAAAGACGGACTCAGAAGAGGAAGGTGTACGTGCCCTTTTTAAAATACCCTCCAGCAGGCTGCTTAGTGTGTGTCTACACAGCCAGAAATGACCAAACTCCACCTCTTGGGCATTCCAGTGCCTGGCACCTCAGAAATTGCCAATACTTGCTGAATGAATGAAAGGAATTGTACATAAAGTGGGGGGGGGGGGTGAAGTGTGGCTATTGTTCAGTGTGTGGTGGATAAACCAGCTGTTTTTCTTAGTGAATCTCTAGGTTGAACCCCACGCTGCTCAAGGCTGTCTTGCCTAGTTCTTCACCCCATAGATGTCTACCAGGAGGATGCCTAAGCGTGGCCCTGGGTGTCTGGGGATAGGGTGTGCTAGCTGAAAGTCCCAGTGACTCAGGGAGTCTAAGCTTCATTAAAACACACATGAACCAGGGAGTGACCCACAGGGCACAGCAGGTCTCTCTTGTCTCCCTGCTGCTTCCCTCAGCAATGTTTCAGGGGATCCACCTGTCCTGCTCCCCACTCTGTCTCTGGTGAATCTTCTCACCCCCACACCTCAGGCCTGTACCCCAGTCTTGTATGAATTAATAATAACTTTAACACATGTGCGCGCACACACGAACAGCTCCATAAAGGATGTGGGTGTACCATGAGGGAATCCAGCTCTTGGGAAATGGGACAGGGGTGGAGGCTGACATCCTGGAGCGGAGTCCAGGTAGAGCTGACAGGCGGGTGAGGTGCTGCCGAGAGTGCTGTGAGCTGTGTGGGGCTCCCCCTCTGCGGACTAGCGGGCCGGCCAGCAAAGCCAGCTGCGTGGACATAGTCCGAACAGGCTCTGTCCACGCAGGAGGCTGGTGCACGTGGGTGCGCCGGCCTTGCAGCCTCCACTGGTGGCCAGGCGCAGATAATGCGGATGTGAGCAGAGGGCCCAGGCTTTGCATTCTTTACAGACAGGAAAATGATTAAACCCCAGCTGTCCATTTTCCATGCCAGCTACTTGCTCCGCTACTCGGTAGCCAGGCTGGTAGCTACATCCAAATGTGTGATTGTTGGCACAGTTCTCCCTGCCCGACTTCCCAGGGACTGAACCCTCACTTTGGTTATCTGTCTGATGTTGAGACTATAAGTCAGCAGTATAAATAGAGAAAAGAACTAAAGCCCCAACTCTGGGGCATGCAAGACTCAAGAGTTCAAGCAGAGAACCAAGCAAAGAATAGAGGGGGGGGGGGCAGGGGAAATGGAAGGGGCGCGCCGCGGAAGCCCGGAGGTTCCAGCCTTGGGAGGTTGTTTACTGGCAGCTGCAGCAAATGCTGGTGAGTCTAGCGAGGGCAGAGAACTTTCTGCTGGGCTTCACTGAGTTGGTGGCCTTGGCTCATGTCTGGTTGGTGTGGCCTGGGGAGGAAGTGGAAAGCGAGGCAGTGACTCAAGGAAGCTGGAGGAATTTCGCTGTGAAGGGAGATAAGGATTTGTTTGCTGAAGGCAGAACAAGGGGTCACTGCGAAGGCCTGTTTGATGGGCCGATCCAGTAAGAGAAGTGAATGAGGCAGGCGGGAGACACAGGGAGTTCCCGGCTGGAGCTTTTGAAGTAGGCTGAGCAGCAGCCCTGTTGTCAGTAAGGGCACCTACTCAGAGAGAACTGAGAACCAGTCAACTTTGGAGCAAAGATCCCATTCAAAGCCAATGACAATAATCACACTTTGAAAACATTTCCTCAGAGACACAATACAGAATTCTCAAGCAGCAGTCACAGCTCACTAGAAAATACCATGAAGGGGGTTTGCTCCATCCTGTGAATGGCAGCAAGGGAAGCTGGCCAACACACGGGTTTCTCCTCCTTCAGGGCTGGGTGGGGTGTTCCCACCTGAGGTTACACCTGATCATGTGACTTGCTTTGGCCAGGGAACCGTGGGCACAGCAGAAGCCTTAAAAACAGGGCAGTGCAAAAGTAGATGACTGGATTAAAAAAATGTGGTCCATAGACACAATGGATTATTACTCAAAAGAAACTCATGCCATTTGCAGCAACATGGATGGAGCTGGAAGGAATCGTGCTTAGTGAAATAAGGCAGAAAAAGAAAGAAAAATACCGGATGGTTTCACTCATAGTAGGAGCATAAAGGGCCAGAGGCGAAAATAAATACAACAATGAACAACTATATACCAGAGACATTTTACAGGGGTGGGGTGGGGATGGGATCAAAAATGGGGAGAGGAGGAGGGAAATGCACTGGACTATGGTGACGGCACACGGGTGATTTGGTGATGGGAAGCCCACGGGGATTGCAACTGAGATGGAGAAAGGCACAAAATGATGTAAAAATAAACTATTATTAAAAAAACAAAACAAAACAGGGCAGTGATAACCCACATGCAGTGGCCTGTCAAGCGTGGGCCTGGGTGGACGAGGCAGGGGCGCATGGTGAGTCTGAGAGGCCTCAGTCCTGTGTGAGGACTGGGTGGCGTTCTGGGTAAGAAGGCCGGAGGGCGTGGGAGGATGGCTGGGGCCTCGCCGGGAGGAGCCCTGACATTTAAGGGAGGGGCAGAGAAAGGTACAATATGTGAGATAGCCCATTAAAAGCTTGAACATGGCCCAAAGTTCAGAGATTTCACTCTGGAAAGCCCCAGCCCAGCAAAGGCAGACTCCACAGCTTCCCCAGATAGAACCTGCAGACAAGGCGTGCCCGCCTCTCATCCCCGCCTAGGGCTTGACAGGACTCGGGCATTTCATGGTGAACTGAGTTGACTTCCTGTTCGGCGCCACACTGCAGAGTGAGTCAGAGTAGGGTGGCATCTACCTAGGGGAGGCTGGGGATCAGGACAAGAGCCGTGTGCGCAGACACTCCTCCCCAGGGAGACTGCCCTCCCCAAGCCCATGGGCAGCTGCCACGCCAAGGGCAGGCTGGCTCCCCACCACTCTGCAGATCACACGGCCAAGTCCTGAACGTCTGACCAGCGAGAGAAAGCCAGTTCTCCTCACGGCCCATATTGCAAAGCACCTTTCCCAGGAGCAGGGCATGGGCCCTGGAGACCCGGGAGGCAGGGCACTGGGGAGGGGATGGTGAGAAGGGAAGAGAAGTGGAGCGGGGCTTCCGAGCAGCGAGGAATGCCATCTCTAGGCAGGACCCCTTGGCTAACCCTCCACAAGCTACACACGGACCAGACTCATTTCTCAACACTTTATTCGGTTCACCGCAGCGGGCGACTTCCCAGCTAAAGGCAGACACAGCGAGGTATTCCTGGGTTAATGCAGGAGCCAGCGGGGGCGGGGCGCCAAACTCGTGGGGAGAAAGCACCAGGCAGCAAGCCAGGACAGGCCAGGCCAGGCCGACTGGACCTTGGCAGACGAGGCCCGTTTCTGTACCCTGCACCAGCAAGGGGGGCCCAGCCACCTCACACAGGGATGCCAAGGGAAAGGAGTAAACAGCTGGAGTCTTTCCTGGCGCACCTCAACAGAGGCTACCTTGTAAGTTGCAGACCAGCGTGTGAACAAGAACCCTGGCTATCCCCGTGACCCGGGGCCGGAATTTCTACCCTTAGGCTACACCCCCGGTGCCAGTTCCCAGGACAAGCCTGGGGGGCAGCAGCTCTTCCCACTGCAGAGGCTGAAGTGGAGCCCGCCTGTTCCGCTGGCCTGTCGGCGCCCCGCCCCAGCCAACGCCTGAATGCAAGCATTAGTCAGAAGACAGATTTAGAAAGTGGAGTGCAGGCAAGAATAGGACATCAGCTCCAGAAGTTAGTCTCTGAGGACTGGGCCAGTCCATGCACGGCCTCCCTAGAAGTTACAAGCTGTTGCTCAAGTTACTGGGAACGCGCCGGCGTCCAGGGCCGAGACACTGCGACCTGCATGAGGCCTCAGAGTCCAGCCCCCCGACTCCTGAGAAGAGGCTGCGTCAGGAGGGCCTGTGCCCAGCCTGTCAGGCGAGGCGGGCCCACCAGGACGAAGAAGGCTCACATACAATGTCATGATTTAACCCCCGAGGGCACCCTGAGTGGCACTTGTCTGAATTTATCTGTGGGGAACCTATTTTGGGTCATTTTATTGGCATTTTACATTTTTGGCAAAAGAGTAACTTTGGTCATAGCCATAGTTTTAGAAAAATGTTTTAAAGAGATTATTTTTGATTCAAATAATGCTTTTAGCGGCATGTAGTTATCCATAACATCAAAAAGTAGGCACCTCACATCTAGTGTCAGTGCAAAGCCTCGTTCCAGCACCTTCTTCTGAGCACAGAGGAGTCAGCAGCACTTACAACAGAGGGAGGTTCTCGCACACGCGGTTAGGAAAATACCAAATAAGGCACAGCCTGTTACTGTCACAGGTTTGCATGGCAGTAGTGTTTCTGGAAGGCACAAGTTGGAAATCTGATTACCCAAAGGTTTAAAACGCAGTTCTCAAGGTGACATCCTAGGATGAGAATAACTAACTTGGAACAGTCCCCTTGACTGGAACCGATGGCAGTCAGTCAGACGACATTGCTTCTTGGTCACAGAGCCGGAGCTGAGGCCCTCACCAGCCGTGTGTGGAGCCGGAGGGCGCGCGCCGCGCCGGGCTTGCTGAGCACGCGGCTGCAGGGGCAGAGTAAGAACGAAGGCACACTTCCTAGACATCAAATTTTACATTAACGAACAGAAAAGAACTGTTTGAGATATAACAGCAGACGAGCCGGGTAACAGAGCAGGTCTGAGTCCGAAGTCTTGAAGAGGGTTCTTGAAACAGCAGGCTGGAGTTCCACTGGTTCTTCATGAGGAAACACTCCACACTAGCGAGCAGGCGAAGAGGCAAAAAAAAAAAAAAAAAAGGGCAGGAAAAAGAGCAGTTTAGTCTCTCAGTGCACACCCAGAGAACACCAGAGGCTGCAAGCAAAATGTGAGATGTCACTTGGCTGGCTCCTTTCTACAGGCTTCCTGCACTTGGGGGGCCTGGGGACACCGTCAAAAGAAAGCATTCAACAGGGCCCCGCGGTTAGAGGCACGCCCACGTCAAGGAGCTCATGATGCCTCAGAGGGTCTTATAGGCGGGCGGAGACGGCAACGGTTGCTCCCGTGGGACACGCAGAACAGCAGGAGCCGTATGTGTCCACGTCCACACACCCACGTGCTACCAGCACGCACCACCTGGGCACTTTCCCCACAGTAACCAGTTTGTCTTCCTTATCTCACACACGAGGACTGCGAGGTTCAGAGAGGTTAAGTTACCACCCCAGGCCACACAGCTGGAGCCTGGTGTCCACCAGAGTCCAGCCAGCAGCCACCAGACTAGACTGTTTCCCATAGAGAAAACATTTGATGGAAGTGCGGTCGGAGAGCACACGGAAGTGAATACCGTTTCCCCTGCATCCCGGATCAATGTCTACATAAAAATATCACACTTTCATCATTCCACGCTCAAGTATCTGAAAAACATTCACTGAAGAAAGCAAGAAACTCTCTGGGGCAGCCCCCGTCGCTGAGGGGCCTTCCTCCAGCCTGGTGGCCGGGACTCACCCACGATGATGATGATGATGATGACGATCACAGTGATGCCAATGGCCCACATCTGCAACGAGACACACGCGCAGTCACGCGTCAACGCGAAGAGGGATGCGCTTGCGGAGCGCCGGCCCCCGCCTCGGCCCGCAGAGGGAGGCTCGAGCACAGCGCTCCCTGGCCTGAGCCGGAAACGGAATGTTTGCGGTCGGGGCTGAAGCTTCCTGCTCTGTTCTCATAAGGGGTCAAATGACTAGGGGTGCCAGAGAGGCCTGTCCACGTGGTCACCTTTCCCATGGGGTCCCGCTGCCCCTTCTAAGCCACGGTGGGCAGGATGCATTTGCGCTGGGGCTGGACGCCACAAGACACGTCCACGGGCTGTGCCCTACTCTCCCATGGAAACCTCCAAATCCAGCCTCCCCTGCCAGGGTGCCTCCAGAGCTCTGACACTGGCAGCCTCTGCTCATATTCTGTGTGAGGACCCTAGGAGAGTCACCTTGCAATTTTTCCACCAGTATTTTCTCTTCAGCTTGGCCGCACTTGTTTCAAACTGGGACGCCCCCGCCTGCAGCGCGTCTGCGCGGTCGTCCAGCTCGGAGAGCTTCTGGTCCCGCTCCAGCACCTTGTCCACGTTGACTCTCATGATGTCCACCACCTGGCCGCAGGCCGCCATGCCACGCACAAAGGGACGGGAGACAAAAGTCCTCGACAGAATCCATGGCACCCCACCCCCGCCATGGTTAAGAAAGGGGGGGAGAGGGGCTCACGCTTTCATGATAAAAACACTCGGCAAATGAGAACTAAAAGGGGTGCCCCAACATTATAGCGAGCAGTTACTAGCGGCCACCGCCCGCGCCCACCATGAGGTCACCTCGCCCTGAGACCAGGAACGAGACGGGCACACGCTCTTGCCCTGTGGCGCCTGACGGGCAGCTCTGCCAGCGCGGGGAGGCAAGGAGAAATAAAAGGAGCCCAAATAGGACGGGAGAGTGGCAAGATCTCCCTTTGCAGGTGACTCCGTGTGGAAACTCCCGAGCGACAGACACACGAGTGCGCACAGACACACCCGAACCCGGGGTAAAAAATTCAGAGTAAGTTTCAGGGCATAAGATCAGCCCTGTAAGTCAGGGTGTTTTTATACACTAGCAACAAGGAAGAAATTAAGGAAAATTCCAGCATCGGAAGGGATAAGCACCTAGATGCAGACACCAGCAGGGAGGCAAGAGACGCACAGCCTGGGCGCTGCAGAGCGGCGGACGCCGAGCCCTGATGAAGCGAGAGACACCCGCCTGCAGACTTGCGCTGCGGCTTGATGTTGGGGCGACAACATTCTCGCAGTGACGGCAAGGCGTGCGGATTCAAAAATACCTCCTCAGAAACTCTGACCACCCAAGTGGACAGTCAATCTGCAAATTCGCATGGAATTAGCCCCAACAACACTGAGCACGGTGGACAACGCACATGTTCCGATTTCAAAAAATGCTGCTATCTACCGAGGTGGTGCGACTCGGGCATCAGACAGACGGGCCAGTGGAGAACTGCGAGCCCAGAGACCAACCTAAGCACCTAGCAGCAGGTGCTGAGCTGGACAGTCACAGGCCTGCCCTATGTCCCCCATCTGCAAATATCAAGTGCAGACAAACATGACCCAGTGTGAGGGCTGAAATGAGAAGCCTCTTAGAAGAAAACGGAATGCTAGCAGCTTCAGACTGGTCATGGGTAGGATACTGCAATCAGGAACTACTGAACAGATAAACTGGAAGTAAAAACCTCAAATCTCTGGTCTATCAGCAGGCATTATCAAGGATTGAAAAAATAATCCACAGGATGGGAGAAAATTATTTCCAAATCACACATGAAAGCGGCTTCATGCTCAGAATACATAAAGGACTCTTACCACCCAACAGGGGAAAGAGAAGTTACTCAATTAAAAACCCGGTAATGGACCCACAGACCCATTTCTACAAAGTACACACAAACGGCCACAAGCACATGAAAAAGATACTCAACATCACTGGTCTTTCCAGAAATGTCATCAAACCACAGTGAGATGACACTTCTTGCTCACCAAGATGACTACACAGGAGTAAGAAAAGGGAGAGTAACAAGTGAGCACGTGGAGAAACAGGAACTCTTGCACACTCTTGGGCACTGGTGGGGACGTGAGGTTGTTTTTTTTAATTGAGGTGAAATGACGTCTGATTCACCTCTCTGGGGGCACACACAGCTCAGTAGTCCTTGCTGTGTCTGCGCTGTCGCTGCCGTGTAGCTTGGCCAGTTTTCCTCAGAAGAATGCCCTATACGTTTTTAGTAATCACTAAATAGCACTGTGGAAACCTGGCGGTTCCTCAGTTAAGCACAAAGTTACTATGTGACCCAGCAATTCTACTCCTAGTTACCCGCCCAAGACAACGAGAACCTGTGTGCACACAGAAACTCTACTGCACGTGTTTATAGCAGCATTATTCAGAACAGTCAAGAGATGGAAACAACTCAAAGATCCTTCAACAAATGAAATGACGAACACGCAATACACATACACCATGGAATATTACTCAGCCATAAAAAGGAACATGGTTCTGACAAATGCTACAGTTTGGATGAACATGGAAAAGATGCTAAGTGGAAGCAGCCAGACACAAAAGGCCACACAGTGTAACGATCCCCTTACATGATATACCCCGATTAGGAACATACACTAAGATAGGCAGTGGGTGAAAGGGGGGAGCGGGGAGTGATTCCTAAAAACGTATAGGGCATTCTTCTGAGGAGATGGAAAGCTACATGGCAGCGACAGCGCAGACACAGCAAGGACTACTGAGCTGTTGTGCCCCCAGAGAGGTGAATCAGACGTCATTTCACCTCAATAAAAAAAAAAACTCTCCTTAAAATTCTTTTTGTTAAGAATTTGGTTTTGTTACTAAAAAGTTACATGCAGAATGGAATTACAGTAAGCTTTTTCACATGAAAATAAGTGTTTCAGAATTAAGTTCACGAACAAATGGATCAGATTGAAACATTCTCGTATGATTTAATAATGGAACCTAACATCCGTTTTAACTGCATTCTGGGGCACTAAGTGCAGAAAGACTAAGGCATCTCCGTTGGACAGACAGCTTTTAGGAGAAAGGAAATACCAGTCCGAATTTCTCAAACTATCTTTAGTTGTAGTTCCGAACAGACGGGAGAAGGTAAGGCACCAGGCGGTGCCCTAACTCAAGAACCGCACAAACACAGATGCGCGGGGCAAAGGCAGTGCCCCATCGCCCCTGCGTCACAGTCCGCAGGGCTTGCGGCTGCCGGTGAGCCTGGCTGCCCCAAAGCATCTGATGGAAAACCTGGCCAGGAGAACCGGCTCTGGCTTGCACACTCTACAGCCCAAACCCCTGTGGGTTACCCTATTACTCTATTTAAGTGGATCATTTTCCTTTTCCAATTCTTTTTTATTGTGGTAAAATATACATTATAAAGGGGTTCCTGGGGTCCCGGGAGGGTGGGGTTGTTTTCAGTACACAGTCTTGTCAGGAAGACAAGCACACAGCTGCTAGACACATGTATTTACATCAGTGCCTGAAGGACGGCTGCAGAACGTCACATTTGTGACAGCCAGAATTTACATTCACTTTCCTCATACCTTTTTCTAAACAGATTTGCAGAGTACCCACTGTTGGTTTAAAATTCACATTTCTGACACCTAAGAACAATACCTCATCTACTTGATTTTGTGTCTGCTGAAGTCTTCGATTGCTGCCAGAGGCAGCACTTGAACCTCCAGGCCCCCCTGCAGACCTGAAACACCGAAAGGCACACACGTGAGTAGGATAGCAGGAAAAGAACTCCCTCCTGTGGCACAGAGGTGGCAGAGGTGCCAAAGCCGTTTCTTCTAATCCCTCTGTAAATTCGTTCACATATTCAAAGTGACCAGGGTCTAAAACAAAGGTTCTTTTTTTTTTTTAAAGATTTATTTATTTATTCATCCAGAACTGGGGTACAGGCCAGAGATGTGGAGGGTGAGAGGATTCACCAGAGACAGAGTGGGGAGCAGAACAGGCAGATCGACGAAGTTCACTGCTGAGGGGAGAGCGGGCGGCCAGGAGAGGTCTGCTGCGCCCTGTGGGTCACCTCCGGGGCAGGCGGGGATCGAACTCATGCTGAAGTGGCTTTAGCTTCTCAGTGCTGTGCTTTAACCCACTGCACCACCAGGGAGGGCCCAAGCAAAGGTTCTTAATGGGATCTACTCTGGACTTTCCAACTCTTTAAGGCTTATTTCAGGGCACACGTCTATTAAATGCACTCAGTCTGGTCTCTGCCTTGTGGCACTGTCTTTATAATCATGAACAACTACAGAATGTCATTTTCCCAAGAGAAATAGATCATTTACAGAAAAAGGTTCGGAACACCTGATGCAGGGAAGGGGTGTAGAATGCGCAAGGTGACCTGCAGCAATGCTTCCAGGTGCTCGTCTTTGAAAATCCTCACCAAGCACTTCAATTCTCCCCAGGTAGGTCTTTCTTGATCCAGTGCAGCTTTGATGTCCCTATTGCTTGTATTATTTCATTGGCAATGCTTTGATTTTCCAGATACACATGGCGATGTGTTCATTTACATCTACCAGGCATTAAAACCAGGGAAGCTGGCCCTCCCTGGTGGCACAACAGTTAGGACACAGCACTGCAAGCTGGTTGCAGCCCCTTTCCTGCAAGTTCGATCCCTGGCCTTGGAGGTGACCCACAGGGTGCGGCAGACCTCTCCCCACCAGCCCACAGCTCCCCTCAGCAGTGGACATCCTCAATCGGCCTGTTCTGCCCCCCACTGTCTCTGGTGAAACCTCTTACCCCCGTACCACTGGCCTGTACCCCAGTTCTGTATGCATAAATGAAATCTTAAAAAAAGAAAAAATAGGGAAGCAGCTGCTCCCCACTGCTGCCGGTTAGCCTCTCGCAGGTAACAGCAAAGCACCACGTCCTGGTGCGTTTTCTCATTTCATCCTCACAACTCTGGGAGGTTTTACTCTGCCTTTGGCCCTGTTTTAGAGACCGGCAAAGTGAGGCTGAGAGTCAACACAGCTGGGTGTAGCAGGGCCGTGGTTACTCTGGGTCCGTGGAGTCCCAGGGGTCTGGCCCTTGGCCGCTGTGACCTGGGCAGGCACGCCCCAGAGCGGTGTTCGCAGCTCCTGGAAGGCACAGGGCCAACACCCAATTCCCTTCTCCCTGCCGGTGAGCACAGCAGGCCGGAGCGGGCGCAGACGGTCCCCGTGATTCTTTCTGGCCCCCGTTTACCGGGACTTCACGGCGCGGGAGCCCACGGCCCTGCCGGCTCGCGGGTGCACGCCGACCGCAGGAGCCCCGCGGC